AAAAAAAAAAAGAAGGGAAGATCTATTTGACTTATGGTTCCAGAGTGATAAAAGTCCATGAAGGGGTAGCAGAGACATGGCAACAAGCAGCAGGTGTGTCAACAGGAAAAAGAAACTGAGAGCTCACATCTTGAATTTTAAACATGAAGCAGAGAGAACAAACTTGAAATGTTGAGACTTTAAATTCTCAAAGCCCACTGCCAGTAACATACTTCCTCCAACAACACCACACTTCCCAAACCTCTCCAAACAGTACAAATGTCCAAGATCTGGGGGCATTTCTCATTCAAACTATCACACTAGCCAAAACTGAGCTACTTGTCCAAGATCACACTGGAAACTCAATTGTGTTGCCTGAGCTCTCTCTCCCTGTCCTTTGTCACACGGCTCTTCATTATTGCCTGACCTGCATCTTTAACATTGCCTGGGTTTCAATTTGCTGTCCCTAATTAGAATCAAATATTTCTGACTCTGGAAATAAATACCGTTAAACAGTGGCTTGTGCACAGAATAAATGAATGCCTGTTGCTAAGGAAACATCAAGGAGGAGATGGAAGACCAGAAAGCAGATTTCAGCCTCATTGGCCCCATGAGTCACAGCAAGGGCTGAGTAGGTACAGGGCCCAGAGAAGCACCCAGAACCTAGAATGAGTACCTGCCTTCACCAATCCCACGTCATTGCAGGCCCTCCAGCCAGGTGCAATGTTCAGGATTATTGGTGAGACTCATCAAATTATAATCATTGGTCACTACTGTGGATTCAATAGTGTTGTCCAAAATACACTGCCACCTATACTGGGTATGCAGCTCAGTTGGTAGAATGATTACTAAGCATGCATGAAGCCAGAACTTCACAAGTTTAATCCCAGCATCGGAGAAGTGAAAACAGGATCAGAATCAGAAGTTAAGATCATTCCTGACTTCATATCGAGTTCAAGGCCAATCTGAGCTGCCTGAAACCTTGTCTCCAAAATAAGTAAATAAATCATTCCACCAAGAAATTGCAAGAATGTATGAGTCCCAAGTGTGTGTAGTGAAGTAAAGGTTAAGATCGTATTTGCATGAACTACAAATCCAACAAATGTTCTTATGAGAGGGAACACATGGAGACACATAGGTTATGTGAGGACAGAGGCTGGAAAGTGCACATGCATGTCAAAGACACCAAAGATTCCAGCAACCACACAGGGAGCCAGGAAACTGGCATGGGACCCCCTCTTTCTCCTTGAACCTCCAGAGGAACCTACCATGATTGCAGATGCCTGGCCTGCAACAATGTGGGAGATTACACCTCAGTTGTGCTAAGGTGCCTGTTTGTGGAAAGTTCATATATCAGTCCTGGGAAACAAAAACAGCATTGAACTTGAATTTTTCATCACACAAAATCTACTTGTGTGCCAGGTGAGGTCTCTGTGTTACCAGTCAGTCAGGTGGGATCAAAAGGCACTTCCTGCCACATATTCTCATCCAAAACTATGATGGTGTCACTTCCCCAATAACTGTCCACAATCTGAGCCTCTCTTCTGAGCCCCAAACTACACCTGAAAAGTCAGCTATGAATCTTCCCTGGCAAGACCTGCAGGCAGCTCCAACTCAATGCTTCCACAGACTGCTGCTTTCCAATTCATGTAACCATGACCTTGAACCAATAGTGTAATAAAGTTCGTCTGCCCAGATATCCAGAGCCAATTACTAAATATGCCAGGATATTTCCTGCTGATGGCTAAATTTAAGTTCCTTGAAATAGCCACAACAGGAGCAATTATACCAATGAAATCAGCAAGTCATACCAACAAAAGGCTCATGTTTTGGAGCCAGTGAAACAGCACACCCTATTCCAGCTTCCAGGTTAAAAAAACCAACAACAACAACAAGGATTTTGTTCATAGTCCCTTAGCACATATCATACCAGCTTCCTCGTCCTCCATACTAACTCCACCTAGGCTAAATATCCTACCTGTCCCTTCTTCCCTCTCCATACTGCTCAGACCCTAATCGGGGCCTCATCTTTCTTGCATTTTGAGTTTCTCTGCTTAGTTCTAGCCTCAAACAACAATGTTGTTAATATCTGAACATCTTTGCTTTGCATTTAGAGCACTGTTAGTTTTGAGTCGAGCTCTTTTCCACTGAAAATAGTAAGAATTCAGATCACAGGAGGAATTTCTAATGAGGCTGAGAGTACAGCTAGATCAGGGCTCTGGCTCATTGGTTCAGCCTCTCTGCCAAGTTTCATTTTCACCCACTGGATGCAGAATGGTCAGCAGTGTCCTGAATAATATCCTTCTACATATATACTATATCACTCAGCAGCATATAATTCATCCTCTGGTCTTCAGCCCCCTGTACATCTATCTCCTTTGCAGTTCCTAACACTAAGGAGGTGGAGTCTGTTGCCCTAAGCCTTGAATCTGAGTCAAAGGAATATTGGCTTCCTTTGGCCAATAGGGTGATCACAGTGGTGATGCCAGAGTCTTGAGAAAGCAATGAGCACTTTCACATGCTGCTTTGTGACTGTCCTGAGGACATGCCTGGGCTAGCCCACTGAGAATGCACCTGGCATGGTGCTTATGTGCCCCAGCCATCCCTGCCACAGCCAGCACTAATTAACAACTGGTGTTTGGCAATATGTGCAAACCGAAACAAGATCCACTGAGTCCCAGATTTGAAAATTAGGTGGCGTGCCAGGGTTATGTGCCACTAAGATGTGTGCTTGCTTGTTATACAACATTACTGTGGCTAACTAACTGATACACTTAGCTAACTCCTGGTAAAGAATATGAGGACAATAGTTAGCTCTGCTTGTGCCTTATGCCCAGGCCCCACACAAGGGATCCCAAAGTCTATTGAACCATCTAGGTTCCAGGAATATAGGTCACCATGACTGACAACCTGACAAAGACCACATAGAAGGGAAGGGCAGAGCTGCATTCTCAGCTGTCATCCTTTCCTCCTTTATTACCTGAACTCCTCTCCAGGCACTCTCTGGCTTCCCCATTCTGGACCACTTGCCTGTCTCTAATCTGTCATTTGTGTTTTTATCTCTTTACCTTGCTCACACTGTCCCTCCTACCTGGAGGATTTCTCTAATCTCCAGACCCAGAAAGAGAAGACAGAGCCAAGCCAGAAGCAAAGGCTATTTCTGTCCAAGTTGCCGGGGGACTTCTTGGTGGTATAGCTTTTGTCACCCATGCTCTCTAAGGAACTCTAATAAATTCACTGGTTCAATCAAGCTGGACTTGAATCCTTTCTTTGGTCTGTTGGTGCCTTTTCTGGGGCACAGGGCACAGGGCTGGGATATTTGGGGAGCCACCTTGGACATTCTCCAGACCACTAATTCCTGTGGCTGCCCAGGACACAGGTTTGGAAAACTGACAAAAGTTATGATCTGTAGCAACTCCAAAGACCCACAGCTCATGGCAAGATGAGCTTGGGGATAGAGCAGAGGTGGCAGGGGGCCAGATGGTAAAGGATGTCACTTTTGGGCCTCGAGCTCACATTGGACAAAGGCTTAGAGATAGGATCAGAATCCAATTGGCTAAAAGCAATGGATAATTATGAGGACAGCAACAACACTTTTCAAGCCCTCAAGGCACACAGAAACCTGAGCCAAGAGTTTATTCACTTTACTTCATTTGATTCTCACAGTACTGATGATTCAGTATTACATCACTTTTCCTGGGAAGACATAAAGAAATGTCTGTTCAGGGATGGGGAGATGACCCAGTAGATAAATTTATTGCCTTGTAAGTGTGAGGACCAGAGTTTGGGTCTCCAGAACCCACATAAAAGCTGGGCAGGTATGACAGCCATCTGTAATCCCAGCATTTTAAGAGGCCGAGACAAGGGATCCCCAGAGCAAGCTGGCTAGCTAGACTAGCCAAAATTGGTGAGTTCC